TAATTGGAGTGTCATAAGGGTCGGCGCAGTGCCCCTTTGACGGTGAACACGGCCTGTGACATGTTCAGCCCTGAGTCCATAGACTTTATCTCTTGTGTAACATGAAAGTAATGCAGATGTACCTCATAACTTAATAAAAAAAAAAAAAAAGTATTAGTATAAAAAGCTATGATTTGTTCAGATCTGAAACGTACATCTATGGGCAGCACAAAACGTCCACTAGACTGTGCGACACAGTGGTTGCAAGGATCAGGTTGGGTTACTGTTACCTGTGGCAGGTGGCTACAGGTGACGGGTCTCCCGATCCTGAGCACTCCAGTTGCAAACTCTGTGAGCAGGAACTACGGCATGATCTCCCGCACTACATCACTGAATGCCCAGTTATTAGACCTTTCAGACCAGTTGGCATGAGGTACCTGGAGCTTTGCAATTACTTTATTCACTCTCGTATTCTTGAAGATATCCTCACAGTGTACCCAAAATTTGCCAGTGCAGGCTACTGAATATATGGCCCTGTATGACTAACCACCCTGCCAGATGGAGACTTTTAGTATCATTGCTGCCTTATTCACTCTTGTGCTGATGATATCCTCATAATGCACCCAGAGTCTGTCAGTGCAGACTACTTATCACATGCCTCTGTATGACTAACTATCCTGTGTGATGGGGATTTTTTAGCATCACGTAGCTAGCTTTTTGACACACTGTACTCCCCTTCATATAGTCTAGGGCAGCTGCACAAATGCAGATGTACCTAATGTATTAATAATAAAAAAAGATTTGTGTTCTAGGGGTAACCGTTTGGTTACGGTTATCTTGGTTATCTTGAGATGACTTCGGGGCTTAGCCTCCTCGCGGCCCGGTCCTCGACCAGGTCTCCTTTTTGTTACACATCCCCCAGGAAGCAGCCTGTAGCAGCTGTCTAACTCCCAGGTACCTATTTACTGCTAGGTAACAGGGGCATCAGGGGTGAAAGAAACATTTTGCCCATTTGTCTCCGCCTCCACCGGGGATCGAACCCGGAACCTCAGGACTACGAATCCGAAGCACTGTCCACCCAGCTGTCAGACTCCCCTGAAGATAGGGGCGACGGTGAAGACAGTTTTGCCCAAAACGCTATGCTTTACAAAGTGGCTTTAGAGTTGACAATAGGGTAAAGTGGCTTTACAAGAATGTAAAATCAACTTCATTTCTATGTTCTCTCTTAACCCCCCCAATGTACCTTCTTGTATATAAATAAATAATGCTTAGAGAAAATGATGAGTGATAGTGAGCAAGGGAGGAAGATAGCCGTGTCGAGAGGGAGGTAAGGGGGGGGGGGGGTGTATGTGTAAGGGAGAGAGGGGGGTGTAAAGGAGAGAGGGGGAGGGGGTAGTGGTTAGGGAGGGATGTGTAGGGGGTGACTTGGGTACACCGGGTCGATCCGGGGCACCCTATCCAGTGTAGTGACTGTGTAGCCGGTAATATGCGTGCGTGTACGCGCCACGGGCTCACCATAGCCCGTGCTACTTTGAACTTTTTGCTCCAGGTAGCGAATCTTAAACAACAACAACAGTGTACGCGCGTAGATACACGGGAGAGCAACTACAAGACGAGCATAAACTAATCAAAGTAGTCTACACAGGAACAGTGTAAGTATGACCAGTCTTAAGTAAAATTCTGGAAAAAATATACGAATTAGGAATTTATGAAATTCTTAAAATTCCTAAATTATGAAAGCAGTAAGTGTCTATAGAACATATTGAAAGTACTGACGGTCAAGGTGGTGGAGGCCAAGACCGCCAGTAGTTTCAAAGCGTTATATGACAAAGAGTGCTGGGAAGACGGGACACCACGAGCGTAGCTCTCATCCTGTAACTACTTAGGTAATTACATATGGACAAATGTTAAATGTGAAAATATTGCTTAAAAAAGGGGAGATAAAGTGAAATAATGTAAATGACAATATTGCTACTGACACATTATTGGAATATTTTGGCTGTCGCCCATCTGGCAAATAGTAAACAATGAAAAGGGGGATAGTGGGAGGGGTGTGTATTCACCTAGTTGTGTTTGCGGGGGTTGAGCTTTGCTCTTTCGGCCCGCCTCTCAACTGTCAATCAACTGTTTAGTAACTACACTAACTACTTTTTTTTTCCACACCCCCCCCAGGAAGCAGCCCGTGACAGCTGACTAACTCCCAGGTACCTATTTACTGCTAGGTAACAGGGGCATTCAGGATGAAAGAAACTTTGCCCATTTGTTTCTGCCTCGTGCGGGAATCGAACCCGCGCCACAGAATTACGAGTCCTGCGCGCTATCCACCAGGCTACGAGGCCCCGTGTGTGTGTGTGTGTGTGTGTGTGTGTGTGTGTGTGTGTGTGTGTGTGTGTGTGTGTGTGTGTGTGTGTGTGTGTATATTTTGTCTGTAATTCTGCCCAAACCATTCTGATGTGCGCAGCAGTGAAGTTGGTGGCGACTCTTACTCTTACGTTTTAGCTAACATAGACTTGACCAATCCCATTTTGAGGACTGAAACTTAAGTAAACTCATCAAATCAAGTGTGACTTGGAAGCAAGAAGGTCATGTCTAATGTGTTCTTAACCTACACGCTTACATTATAATTCTGAAGTAAATTGGAGAAGGGGGGGAGGGAGCGGGAACGGAAGGGAGGGGAGAGGGAAGGGGAGAAGGAACGAGAAGAAGGGAAGAAAGATTAAATGGGAGGGGGAGGAGAGAGGAGAAGGGGGGGGGGGGTGAATTGGAGTTAATAACAATGTCTTATGAAAAAATAGAGGCCAATGTGTTATTTCAATTGTGACGAAACCACTCTTGACACCAACCCATTATGCCTATTCAACGACCGGGCCGCGGGGACGTTGAGCCCCGAAATCATCGCAAGGTACCTTCCCCCCCCCCCCCCACACCACTATTTCAAGACAGCATTTGGTCCCCAATACTATGTACTAATTTATAACTACCACCCTCTCATGGTAAACAGCATCAAAAGCCTTGCTAATGGTCAGATAAACAGGCCTATTATTGATTATCACAATCAACTTGAGAATGGTCCAGGACGGACCGAAACGTCGTCGTCCCTTCAATTTCTAGTGTGTGGTCTGGTCAACATACTTCAGCCACGTTATTGTGACTCATCGCCTGCACAGGCCTATTATTGTTTTATCACTGCAGTATTAGTTTTGAAGCGTAGGTTAGAATGACTTTAAATATGAGCTTCCTCATATAGGCTAATAGGTCTTTTGCCGTTTTCTTTGTTCGTCAACATTTTGCTTAAATTTGCAAAAGAAGAATGCAGATGTGTAAGGCATGAGAAGGGGGCACCCTAGTAAATGAGTTGATTCATTAATTATATTTTGAAGATTTACAAACTGAGCTTAATCTTAATGCGTTATGGATACTCTTAGCTTACAAGTCACATCGAACCCAAGACGGTTGAGGGAGCCGGTCGGCCGAGCGGACAGCACGCTGGATTTGTGATCCTGTGGTTCTGGGTTCGATCCCAGGCGCCGGCGAGAAACAATGGGCAGAGTTTCTTTCACCCTATGCCCCTGTTACCTAGCAGTAAAATAGGTACCTGGGTGCTAGTCAGCTGTCACGGGCTGCTTCCTGGGGGTGGATGCCTCATCGAGGACCGGGCCTCGAGGACCGGGCCGCGGGGACACTAAAAGCCCCGAAATCATCTCAAGATAACCTCAAGATAACGGTACGCCATTGGGTTTAAAGGCTACCTAGCCTTATCCAACCCAACCTCGGCCAACGACGTTACGACAAAGCTTGTTTTCAATGCATGGTTTGTTCATCTATAATGTTGGGGACAACTCCATTGAGAAATTATTTCGGTATTAATTACAGACTTGATAGAATTCTTGTTAGGATTTTAACTTGCACTTCTTTAAGACTTATCAAACTTATCCCCCTCGTACTTGTGCAAGTTGTAAGGACAACTGTATTGGACAGTAATGCAATATTGACATCTGACGCAGATTATCACAAATGTGCTAACATTGCCAGTTCATTTGAAATGTTCACCGATACTATTTTCTTTGTCAAGTGCAGAACAGATGGGATTTACCCCTCCCCCTTCCAGGTCAAACATGTATCTCCAAGGTTATACCAGTGACAAATACAACTATTGTATACCAATGTATACTAGTGCAGTGTGAAGCCCGCACTAGTCACTATCAGACACTAGCACCTTAAAGCCACTTCAAAGTGTGAACACTAGTGAACACTACCACACAAAGGTAGCCGGAACAAAGGTGGACTTCTTCAAGAACAAATTTGATAAGTTCTTGCAAGAGGTACCGGACCAACCTGGTTGTAGAGGATATGTGGGCCTGCGGGCAACTGCAAGCAACAGCCTGTTGGACCAAGTTATCACAAGTCGAGCCTGGCCTCAGGCCGGGCTCGGGGAGTAGAAGAACTCCCGAGACCTCCTTCAGGTAAGCTCCAGGTAACACAAGAACGATTACGTTCATGATATCTCTCTGCCCATCACGATTATAAGTAGAATTTCTCCTCAACATAGACTGTAGACTCCCTCACCCATTCCCAAAGATCAGAATTATGACAATAATAACAAACATAAATTAGGTTACGTAGTATTATAATAAGATATTTATAAATATAAACTAGATTACGTGGTACTTCAGTGGTACTCTATCCACCTAAATATTATGCTTGGAAACTCTTTATCTTACAAGAATAACAAACTACTTTTCTTGACACCTGCGAAATCCTAAGCTTATATGAGTGGTGTTGACTATGACAAGTGCGACAAATAAGCAAATAATGACATGGTAAATACACAACACTTCAGGGCCATGACTGGCGCTTCAATCTGTCTTTTTAATTAAAATAAAATTAGTTACAAACAGGGTAGCATATAAGATATCACATCAATGTATATATATATATGCAGTAAATCATCGTATAGTATCAAAATTTCCCTTTCATGTGCACTGTTGAAAAACACTTTTGTAGAGCAGCACTGAAATTACTTTTTTTTTCCAATCACAAATCGCGCGATATGAGCACCATATAAGGCTAAATTTCCGTGTTGGAAGAGTAGATCCAAGCGAGCGCGGCGGCGGCGGCGGAGAGGAGGTTTAGCAACACCCGCCCGCGACGGCGTCTACCACAACACTGGCGGTGAGGAGAGCTGGGCGGCGGTCGTCATGGCCATGTGAGGCTGGCAGCTTGGGAGGCTGGCCAGGCAAGATTGGATGCCTGTCTCTCTGTCTCTACGGTTCTTTTCCTGTATATATCTTTGTACCTTGGTCTCCCTTGGTCTCTCTCAGTCTCTCTCTCTCTCTCAGTCAGTCTCTCTCTACGGTTCTCTTCCTGTGTATATCTTTGTACCTTAGTCTCTCTCTGTCTCTGTCTCTCTCTCTCTCTACGGTTCTCTTCCTGTATATATCTTTGTACCTTGGTCTCTCTCTCTCTCATTTTACACAGACGGGTAACACATACTTCTGACTCCTAAACTCACTGTTAGCAGGTTTGGTTAGTTCATTGTAAGCCTTATCCTACTAGATTTCCCTGGAACACGATCCAATAATGTTCACAACCTAGTCCCCATTTACTGCTGGGTGAACATGGGCGAATAGTTAACGAATAATGCCCAGTCAATCATCCCGGGTTGAAGCGGAGGGATGCAGGCTCCCCGGCAAGCATTTACAGGGAGAGATGAGAGAGGGAGAGGGAGAGAGAGGGAGGGAGGGAGAGAGAGAGAGAGACAAGCAGGCAGACAAACCGGCAAGTCTGATCTCTTTGATCTAGCCTCACAACCGACCGTGCTCAAGGATAATTAATTTCCTTATTATCAATACCACCTTTTCTTTATTGGTTAATGACCTTGATATTACTTGTTCGGCCAGCAGGCGCCCTGGGGAGTCATAGTTACCTCGCATCAACCCACCGGCTAAATACATTAGTCATGGCTCTGATTTACAGCATACTCTATATCACAGCTCAACCAAAAAAGCAAAAAAAAAGGAACTGTCGGTGCTAAATCTATTTAATACCATTGTAAATAAAATACATTATAATTGCTGACAAATATGAACATTAGGCTACAGTCCTGTCTAGGCTTTCCACCGCCCCGTAACTGTGGTCAAATCATGGATGAAAACATTGTCTCTCGTGAGATGAACTTCCCAATAGTCCTCAGGTTTTATGATATCGTCGTCGGATAGGTTTTATGATATCGTCGTAGGATAAAGATTGAGACAGACAGACACAGACAGACAGACTGTACCTCAACAAATCTGTATGGCAGATCTGTACTGCCGTGGTAAATGTTTATAATTACAACGTTCCTCACCGCACAACTAATTTCATACACGTTAAATACTCCATTCAGTGTATCCTCTACTATTTACTAATGTTAAGGTTAACCATACACATGAAATGTTGATTATTTGTTAGTTATCAACAGTTTAGTTGTAATGTGATGCATATAAAATGTTCGGATAGCGAAGAAACATTTTGTTTACAATAAATTATATGTGGTTTTATATATATTTTTTTAATATATATATATATGAGGGGTACCACCACTGGTGCAAGTGTAGGGACCCATAGCCTCGGAGAAGAAAATAAAGAGTACTCGGAAGACCTTGTGGATACTCACTGAACACTTTGATTTCTTCTCCTACCACCCCTATTTGTGTGTGTGTATATATTATATATAATATATATATATATATATATATATATATATATATATATATATATATATATATATATATATATATATATATATATATATATATATGTCGTACCTAATAGCCAGAACGCACTTCTCAGCCTACTATGCAAGTCCCGATTTGCCTAGTAAGCAAAGTTTTCCTGAATTAATATATTTTCTCTAATTTTTTTCTTATGAAATGATAAAGCTACCCATTTCATTATGTATGAGGTCAATTTTTTTTTATTGGAGTTAAAATTAACGTAGATATATGACCGAACCTAACCAACCCTACCTAACCTAACCTATCTTTATAGGTTAGGTAGGTTAGGTAGTCGAAAAAACATTAATTCATGAAAACTTGGCTTATTAGGCAAATCGGGCCTTGCATAGTAGGCTGAGAAGTGTGTTCTGGCTACTAGGTACGACATATATATATATATATATATATATATATATATATATATATATATATATATATATATATATATATATATATATATATATATATATATATATATATATATATATATATATGTCGTACCTAATAGCCAGAACGCACTTCTCAGCCTACTATTCAAGGCCCGATTTGCCTAATAAGGCAAGTTTTCATGAATTAATGTTTTTTCGTCTACCTAACCTACCTAACCTAACCTAACCTAGCTTTTTTTGGCTACCTAACCTAACCTTACCTATAAATATAGGTTAGGTTAGGTTAGGTAGGGTTGGTTAGGTTCGGTCATATATCTACGTTAATTTTAACTCCAATAAAAAAAAATTGACCTCATACATAGAGAAAAGGGTTGCTTTATCATTTCAAAATAAAAAAATTATAGTAAATATATTAATTCAGGAAAACTTGGCTTATTAGGCAAATCGGGCCTTGAATAGTAGGCTGAGAAGTGAGTTCTGGCTACTAGGTACGACATATATATATATATATATATATATATATATATATATATATATATATATATATATATATATATATATATATATATATATATATATATATACACACCTAGCGTAGTATGTTTATGGACTAAATTAGGCTTATGATAAATATTAGGCCTAGAATTGCTTATTTAGGCCTGATACAGGTTACGTTTTCCAGTCACTGTTCCACTCTTTTGGCATACAATTTGAGGAATTCCCATAGTACAAAAGTGAGCTTTTTTGGGGGGAAACACGAGTTCATTTATGTACGTTCGATCCAGTTGCCATAAGGACTATAATTTTTGGAGCCTGGGTTGATATATTCGCTGTGGAAAATTGTCCACAGATAACCAGAATTAGTCTAGACACTTGTTTTAATTAGGGTGTAATACTGACGCTGTTTGACTCTAGTCAGATAACTTAAGTTGGGGTCGAGTTATCTGATAATTAAGCCCCTCCCCCCTTCCTTATGGTCTTGAGAGAGCCTTGGTGAAGACGTGTTACAATTAAAAGTCGTTTTAGATAACAGCTATTTTCTAACGAGTGTTTGCATATATTTATGGGGAATATACCCCCAGGGGTGCCGTGCTCTTGCCATGGGTCGCTCTTCCTCGTGTCTCGTTACTGTGGGGGGGGGGGGGGGGCCCGGAGGAACTCATTAATTGAGTACAAACTTAATTGTTTTTTGTACTTTATGCGTTGTGCAAAAAAAAAAAAAAAAATACAACTTTTTTGAAGTCTTTGGTTTAGTTGTTGTGTTTCACACACACACTGGGTTCTATAGAGTCCAGTAGGCTCAATAGAGCCCAGTAGCCTCAATTAGAGCCCAGTAGCCTCAATTAGAGCCCAGTAGCCTCAATTAGAGCCCAGTAGCCTCAATTAGAGCCCAGTAGCCTCAATTAGAGCCCAGTAGCCTCAATTAGAGCCCAGTAGCCTCAATAGAGCCCAGTAGCCTCAATAGAGCCCAGTAGCCTCAATAGAGCCCAGTAGCCTCAATTAGAGCCCAGTAGCCTCAATAGAGCCCAGTAGCCTCAATAGAGCCCAGTAGCCTCAATTAGAGCCCAGTAGCCTCAATTAGAGCCCAGTAGCCTCAATTAGAGCCCAGTAGCCTCAATTAGAGCCCAGTAGCCTCAATAGAGCCCAGTAGCCTCAATAGAGCCCAGTAGCCTCAATTAGAGCCCAGTAGCCTCAATTAGAGCCCAGTAGCCTCAATTAGAGCCCAGTAGCCTCAATTAGAGCCCAGTAGCCTCAATTAGAGCCCAGTAGCCTCAATAGAGCCCAGTAGCCTCAATAGAGCCCAGTAGCCTCAATAGAGCCCAGTAGCCTCCATTGAGCCCAGTAGCCTCCATTGAGCCCAGTAGCCTCAATAGAGCCCAGTAGCCTCAATAGAACCCAGTAGCCTCAATAGAACCCAGTAGCCTCAATAGAACCCAGTAGCCTCAATAGAACCCAGTAGCCTCAATAGAACCCAGTAGCCTCAATAGAACCCAGTAGCCTCAATAGAGCCCAGTAGGCTCAGGAATCTGTACACTAGTTGATTTACAGTTAAGAGGCGGGACCAAAGAGCCAGAACTCAACCCCCGCAAGCACAACTAGATGAATACTGACTGTAGTTACTACAAGTTCATCGGACACGAAACCGTTTGCTTCAATTGATGCGGTTTGTAGATTACATTTAATAAATCCCTTACTTAACGGCTGCACCTTTGTACCAAGACAATTCTACAAGGACATAGTGCATTTTAAGAGAGATGATTCCAGCTTAGTGTTACAGATTTTCTTCTGATAATGTTGACTAAGATGTAGATCATGCGGTATTTAGTAGTACATCTTGCAGATATTAAGCAACATTTTTATCTTTGGCAAATACGACAGTAATATATTGAACGTACGGGTTTATTATGACGGGTGAAGAGATTACACACACGATACGAGACGTGACCTCATCTATTGCTCCACGAGGGACAGTGAGAACATTTAGAACACAGGACTACAGTGAGGGAGCACAACAGACAATAATATGAAGAACAAGAGCGGTATAGAGCATAACAAATTGTATAGAAAGAGTTAAGAACAGAGGAATGCGCGGGAGACGACTAAGCATGAGGCTAGTAAACAAGCCACAGAAGAATAGGAAGAGAGGGCGGACAGAATTGCTATAGCTAGGAGCCCAGCAGGTGGGGGTGAACCACTGCCTAGACTATGGTCATCTAATGCGGCCGACACCCACCCCGGCGCCGCCATGGCCAGCACGCACGCACTCTCTCTCTCTCTCTCTCTCACACACACACACACACACACACACACACACACACACACACACACACACACACACACACACACACACACACACACACTCTCTCTCTCTCTCTCTCTCTCACTCACACACACACACACACACACACACACACACACACTCATTCTCTCTCCCTATGGCAGACTGTCAGCTCCAACGATCTCAATATATTGACTATTTATGTCAAGGTGTCAGACAATACACAAAGTTCA